ACGCTTCCTGTCCTAGGGTGACAACTAGGGATGCACCGATACCAGAAGTCCCATTAAGGAAGCAAGTGGCGGGTAATGACTCGCCACCCGGCTTCCTGATTACCCGGGAAGCAGTCTCCATGCTTCCTCGTCACAAAGTGGGGAGGGAGCATGGAGCCGGCTTCCCGGCCAATCAGGAAGCCAGGCAGCGTGTAATGAGTCGCCGCCAGGCTTCCCGATACCGGACATTCCAGCATCGGGAGCATTTGGGCAAGTACGAGTGCCCGCCAAATACTCAGTATCGGCACCAATACTAGTATCGGTGCATCCCTAGTGACAACGCTCATTGACTGCAGAATCAGTGTAGTCAGTCTATGACCGCAAGCTGGCATTGCTGTAGTGCACCAATCCACCCCACACTACCTTTTGTTGGAATTCTGGTGGCCTGTGAACCCCTGCTGAGGCGTAGGAGAGTTATTCCCACACATGCCCACTGCAGGCTCCTTGCTGCTTCTCACACACATAAAGGCTCATGTAAAAAAAGAATGCAGGAATGAAGTTGTTGCTCACAGCCACCAATTGATTTTAACCTGCTTCAGAAATTTGAATGGACAAAATGAGGTCAGCAGTGGCAATGGATTTCAATGTTGGATTTCCGAAGAAATAGCAACCAGATGATGGGTTTCAAATGGGCAGTATGGCAAGTTGAATAGGAAAACTCTGAATCGCCTCTAGGGAATTATGGGTAAAACTGGAAGGGTAAAATGAGAGGGTGCCATAAGAATGAATAGTTTTATTCTTAGCTCAGGTTGGCAGCCAACAAGTTTCAGGAGGTTTCCAAACCCTCGCTTTTTCAGGGGTTTAAATTAGGGATGCACCGATATATCAGCCGCCGAAACATATCGGCCGAAAATGGCACTTTTGGCATAATGCCGAAAGTGCCATTTTCCTGCCGATACATCGGGTCATCCCTGGTTTCTTTTCTCCCCGCTGGGCGCTGTTCCAGCGGGGAGAAAAGAAAGTGACAGCCGCCGAGCGCTGCAGGAGTCAGGACGAGAGCACTAATTAAAAATTCCATTTCGGTGCACCTCTAGTTTAAATAATAGCCAGCTCCATGCCGATTGGCAATCTGCATGGAGCCGGCCAAACAGCATGGAGCCGGCTTCCTGGCCAAACAGCATGGAGCCGGCTTCCCGGCCAAACAGCATGGAGCCGGCCAAACAGCATGGAGCTTGCTTCCCAGCCAATCAGCATGGAGTCGGCTTCCTGGCCAATCACCCCACCCCCCACACACATATTCGATACGCCTAGGTGTGAACTCAGCCTCAGGGATTCTGTTGGCGAGTTCCCAGGTATGCACACACCTGCTGTGCCCTTATGAGGGGTTCCCACCATCTCTGCTGGAATTCACTTTATTTTATATGATGGAGAATGTGACAGGAGGAGCCGGAAACACACAAAGATGGGGAGCCCACCCAAAAGGACATGAGCAAAATCAGGTATCATAGCAGGGGGATTCTTCTAAAAAAGAGAACCTGTCAGTAGAGCATTGATCTGTCACATCTGAGATTCCTGGCTGTGCTAATGTTTGGTCAGACATGTCACTATGCTGCAGTAATAGACTCCGTCCTGGAACGAATGCTGCTTACAGGCCTTGGGCAGTGGCAGCCTCCATCGCTAAACGAGAGTCCTGGCCTTCCCGCAGATAACCGTGAGCTTCTAGTTGCTGATCCAGGAGAACAAGCAAGCATGGAATTTGTAGCGCTGCTCAGTGTATGGCAATTACTGTCTATTCTAAAAGCAAATTGAAAAGCACAGAGAGAAGGCCAAGGACCCGGCCCGGAGGCACAAGTGAGAGGTTCCTGGAATTCCTCCGCACAGGATTTCATAAAAAGCACAGTAAGTGGGACAGAGAGGACACGGAAGGTCTGAGCCCAAGGGCTGTGCAACATTATCAGCAGACCGCAGATTGATTTCACTTACCGCCCGCGGTTGCGGTTTATTTTTTTTAAAGAGCCAAAGATCTATATCTAATTTGTTGTGCATTTCTGCATCAGGGTGTACACCTACATTCCCCATTATAAGATGCATAACATTGAATTCCAGGAAAACAGCTAAATACACAGATGAAAACGGTGGCGTCCCGAGGCTGGGTGACACCCGGAGCGGTGTCCGAGTGTCACCCCGCCGAGACGTCATCGCGCACGCGCGGCCGTATTCCGATACCTGCCGGCGGCCATCTTTGTGATGGACGCCGGCAGAGAGAGGAGGAGACAGTCACCCGGCGGGATAAGGTATGCCGCCGGGTCACCTCCTCTCTCCTGATACTGTCGGGCGTTCGGTCCATGACCGAGCGCCCGACTTTTCAAGAGGGGGGTGACACCAAAATGACTAAGTCATTTTGGTGTCACCCCTCCAATGGTGTCACCCGGGTGCGGACCCCCGCACCCTCCTTGTGACGCCACTGGATGAAATACATATACGAGAACGGTTTTACCTACCAAAGGATTTGTATTGCTGTCCATTCAGGAGATACACAGCCCTGGCATACAGCACAGTGAATAGGATACCACTTACAGGTAAGGAACACAGTGGTGTCCTCTTTCCACTTCCAGCCTGCTGTCTGGACAGTAAAAGAGCAGCAGATGGATGCGGTCATCCCTCTGCTCAAACTCTGTTCCTAGGCTATCAGCATGTTACTTGTCAATACATTTAATTGCAGCACACCTCCGTTAGTTCCAAGTCCAACTTCTATGGTACTGCAAGAGGCAAAAATACATTTCCCTCCACTGGCTTTTACTACCAAAACGTATACAATTTAAAATACTAACAACACCAACAACATGTAGGGATGCACAGGTGGCGATGCTGAATATTTGGGCTTGCACTCATACTCGCCCAAATGCACCGATACCTTCCCCGATACCGGATTACCCGATACAGAGGAAAATTTACTATGACCAGCAGTGCCGTAGGGGAACATGGACCCGGCTTCCAGGGCAATCAGGAAGCCGGGTGGTGAGTAATGACCCGCCTCCCGGACTCCTGATTGGCCAGGAAGCAGACTTAATGCTGATTGGCTGGGAAACCAGCTTCCCAGCCAATCACAAATTGAGCCAGCTTCCCAGGCAATCAGGAAGCTGGCAGCATATTATTACGTGCCACTCCGCTTTCTGATTGCCCGGGAAGCCGGCTACATACCAGCGCCCTTATCAGTACATGTACTCGATACCAAAAAACTGGTATCGGTGCATCTCTAACAACATGCAAAGCCATTCACAAGTCCCCCCCCCCAGCTACATCACCAAACTCATTTCAAAATATCACCCAAACCCTCACACCGCTCCTCCCAAAACCCCCTGCTCTCTATCCCTCATCACTTCCTCTCATGCTGGCCTTCAGGATTTCTCCAGAGCCTTTACTGTTGGCAATATAGAAATCCTGTATAATAATACTGCTACCACTGCTTGCATTTAATAAAGAAATAAAAGTAATACATTTAATGACACAGTAATGAATACAGAGCTGCAATCATTTGCACATTTATAGCTGCTTGGAGTTCAGCTTTAAAATAGACTGCCAAGCACTCCCACCCACAACTCCGTCCACAATCCTAATGACCTGACGATTGCCAAGCACCCATGCATCCAGCAGCCCTGGGACTGAGAAACACCTCGGGGCTATCCACAAGTCCCAGGGTAAAGTGGAACAGCTTTAAAGTAAATATAGAAAAATTAGGATTTGCTATGCTATAGGAACATTTAGAAAGATTAAAAAGGAGAACTATGGGGTTAAGTCTTTTCCCCATAGTTCTCCTTAGAGTAACGGGAGGACACAAACTAGCGTCCTCCCGTCACCCTAGGCTCAGTATACTGAGACGCCGCAGCTGAAGCGGATCCCAACAATTGTCCCGGGATCCGCCCAGCTGCGTAACTGACAGCTGGCTCTGCCCCCTCCCCGTCCGATCGGAGCAGGGAGGGGGGAATCCAGCCCCTCCCCTGTCACGGCAGAGAGCCGTGACAGGATCGAGAGGTGAGCGAACGCCGGTATGTGTTCGCTCACTTCCCGATCTACTGAGCCGACCTGTGACAGTCTCATTGTCACTGGTCGGCTAGAACTATGAGGTGAGTGAAAAGCATTCACCTCATAGTTCTCCTTTAATTGCAACTTAACAATACTCTACCTTTTGCCTGGACTTCCTCCTGAAATAGCATTGCATTTCCTGGTATGCGAGTGTGCCTAGGCCTTTCTGTGTCTATAGCCTCATAGCTGTATGTCTGCAGTGTGAGAACATCTAAGTCACTGCTGCCTCTGATTGCTATTGTGAAATTTGGCAATTCTACTACTGCATTGCTCTCTATTGTTCTTCCTGGAGGCACCGACATGAGGAAGCAAAAAGGTCAGCCTCTGCCAAGATGGCCACCTCTATACAAAGGTGCGGAACAACGTATGGCAAGACAGCAATGGGGAAAGATCAGCTGCAGAGAGACCACAGTCAACACTGGTGACTAGTCTGTTCTCTTGCCTGCCTTTTCTTTGTTATTCCAGAGTTCAGTTCCTCTTTAAAAGGATCTACCATTCACAGCCGCTGCACACAACCCAACAACTGGTTATAAGTCTGTACCCCCGTGACCACCCACAACCTTCTCTACCACAGTTACAAATACCTATGACCCCCAATACCTATCAACCTGACAGACAAGCTTGTAATGGCGAGTAGAGGGGTGCTTTGTTCTGACTAAGTAACACATGACATTCTGTGATATACTGCGGTGTGCACATAAGTAAGGTCTTCTGCCATACTGACTTATACTAGTAATGCCGTGTTTTCACATAAGGATGTGGTCACACAGTGCTAGCGCTCCTTCGTTTGAGCAAAATGATTGATACTTTGATGTGATTGATCTTTTTTCTTCATTCCTTCTGTTGAACTGGCAAACATTTGCCAACAAGACAGAAAATATAACATGTTTCCTTGCCATGCAACCCACACCATACCAGGCACACATTAACCCCCTTACCTTGTTTTCTACCAAAGAGATGAGAATCTGTTCCATCACTGGCCCGGTAGACGGTACCGATGATTGGATGTGTCCGACAATCACTCCAATAGCCACACGAGACAGTTCATAGCTAAGGTTGGTGTTCTTTCTAACCAGTTCGATTAACTCCGCCCCGATGGACTTTGGCACATTGCTGGCCGCACATATAGGCTCCACGGAGGCGGGTTTCAAAGGTTCTTTTGATTTGCTGTCATGAGTGACAGAGTTGAACGCTTCCATGCTGGGAGGGGCTGGCGCCGTGTGCTTGCTCCGTGCATGTTGATGGCCTTCGATGCGACTTTCCTGCTCCGGTGGCCCTGGGGCAGCCCGCTTACTGTGGGAGCTCAGGGATCCGGGGACTATGGTGCAGGCTTCCGGGCTCTGAGACACTGTAGTGTGCACACTTCTACTGGGGACTGGTGGTGGGGTGTTACTGGGACTGGAGGTTGCCGAGATATGACAAGAGTCTGTGGAAGCCGTGCAGGCTGTGTCAAGAGACGACACGCTTGTAGTGGACATGTTCAGTATGGGCCGGGAAGATTTGTCAGTGTTATCTGCAGAGTTTAAAAAGAGAACCATATATGAATGCAATATTCCAACCTTAAGGCCTCATTCACACAAGAAACAGCCGCCACGTACAGCTCCGTGCACGGCCGTATTGGGCAGCTCCCGGGAAGGACAGGTGCTGCGTGTGATAAGTACGCAGCCCCTGTCCTTCTCACTGGGACTACGCGGCCATATGCCGCCCTACGCTCACCCAAAGTTCAGTTCCGTACGGGTGCGGGTGTCCCGGCTCGGACGCAGACAGGATCCATCCTGTTAGCGTACGAGTACGGACACCCGCACGGACGTGCAGGGCGGGTGACCGTAGGGCGGCATACGGCCACGTTCTCCCATAGAGAAGGGCAGGGGCTGCGTACTTATCACACGCAGCACCTGTCCTTCCCGGGAGCTGCAAGATACGGCCGTGCATGCAGCACGGAGCTGTACGTGCCGGCTGTTTCTCGTGTGAATGAGACCTTAATAGTGCTTACAGACTTTGAAGAGCTCAACTGTGCTCAAAAAGGATCAGTATAGCTACAGTATATTCTTTAAAAACTTCTAATGGTAAGCATGTTAAAGTAGAACCCCAGCCACACTTTTTTTTCCCCCCTAGTTTTTGATAGAATGGGAAAAGTTTGGAACCATGGTCAGGCTTTTATTGCTGCCTGGGTCCATTGCCACAGGACAAAAAATTATGGTAAATCTGAAATTTCATAGAGTTGCGGGTACAGGAATAGAAAGTAAATTTTCAGGATTCTTTTAAAATCTCTCTTAAAACTCCCTTTCCCAAGCACAAGAAAAATAAGTTGTTTTTTTCCCCACTCACTTGTTTTTTGTGGAAATTGGATTTCTAAAATCTCATGAGTTCACCTTTGCAACTAACAGAATGAAGGGAAGTCTGGCTGCTGGGAAGAGGTATCACTGACATGCCCAATGTCACATGCTGTGCCTGTTCGTCGCCTCGGTGAAGTATGAATCCCATAATGCGTTGGGACATTAGTGATGGCAGCAGTGAAGCTTGTGCACCTGCACCTCATTTATATTGCTGGGTTAGTGATATAACATTAGCCTAGGGTCTACTTTAAAAGAATATATCCCCCTTCTCCCAATTATTCATCGCCCCCAATCAGGGAACTTGTCGAAGGGTGAAGTTCAGGCAGAGTCAGCCAATCACTGGCTCCATCTAAACAATTAGCCTCTGCTTTGGCACTGGTCCTATGATTGGAACTGGAGGGGGTGAATAATTCCTCATTGGCTACCTGCTGGGTTGCTCACTTTTTCCCTTTAGATACACCTAAACAATTACAGTATGGGTTTGGTTTAACATGCTCAGTCTGACCATGAGAATTTAACATAGACCTGCGAGGATAGTAAATATTGGCTCTACCACTGTTACTTTGGTGTTTAAAAGCTACAGTCTCCAGAGCTGTCACCTTGATCCCGACTTAAATACCTATTGAGTCACTGGCCTTGAGTAAGCATGCAGCCAGAAACATATGAATCATCCTGCATACCTGTCTCAGCTCATTCACTCAACAGGAAGTACAGCTGGGGTCAGGATGATGGGTCTTGAGGCATCCTCACAGGTTCTTTTTAAAGCAGAAGGTCTTCTTTTTGCCATTTCTTTTTTTTTTGTATTTTAAGCAACTCTGGCCTTTTGAATTGCAAAAAACAAACAAACCCCGGAGTTCTCCTTTAAGAGGAAGCAAAATGCCTCTAATGCTTCATCAGGCAGCCCATAGATTAGTGCAGGGGCGTATCTGCCGCGAGGCAAACAAGGCGTTTGCCTCGAGCGGCAGATTCCGGCAGGGCGGCAGATGTACCGGCCCGCGGCCCGCGAG